CTAAGAATAGGGTCTCAGACCTGTAGGCTCGGGGTTTGGTTCAGTCTGCCTTCTTCCCCTACACGTGGGATACACATATACAATGAGAATAACATCCTATATACAAAATGTAAATGCATGCTTATCTCCTAGATTACATTAATAGAGCCATTACTCTTTCCCTCAGCTTGTGCGCTTAAACCAAACATACTTTAATCTCTCTCAACTTTTGGGTTCAATCAAACATGCCCTTAATCTCTCTCAACTTTTAGGTTCAACCAAACATGCCCTTAATCTCTCTCAACTTTTGGGTTCAAAGCAAACATGGCCTTAATCTCTCTCAACCCTTGGGTTCAACCCAAACATGCCCTTAATCTCTCTCAACTTTTGGATTCAACCAAACATGGCCTTAATCCCTCTCTATTTCAAACCACAAATACAAGATTAAGATACACCAAAAATTGACCATGAACATAGATTCACCCAAACATAGTAAAATCTAAAGTTATTTTAGTTAAATATACCACAATCATGCAAAAATTCCTATGGGTGGGGTTAAACCCACATCTCTCTCTACAACTCACAAACACCGTCAAATACAAAATCTACACCAATTAAAAGCTCTAGAAAGGAGTAAATAAGTTAGATGTACAAAAATTTTGAAGAATAAACTAAGTAATAGTGAAAGCCCTTACCTTTTTGGATGATTTCTCCCTTCCCTTAAGTTTTCTCCCCTCTCCTCTCTCTATCTTGGCATGCGGGAATGAGTGTTTTGGAAGACTCAAGGGGTGTGAAGGGTTTATTAATTGGTTATGGGGGCAAAAAGACCAAATCACCCTTATTTCATTCATCTTAACTTTTAACACTTATAAACATTTGGATCAATTTCAGGCATCTGAGGATATCTCACAAATATTTGATTTATAATTCTAGGAGTTCAAGAGGGTTTAGGGGTCTTTGGAGGGATTAAAAATCCCAAAATTTTTAAGAAAAACTCAAACAATTGTAACCCTGTGCGCTACGATGCGCCCATTCCAATGTCCATCATGCTATAGCGCACCTAGGCTATGGCACCAAAATTCCAAAATGCAGCATGGCACTACTACAGTAGCGCTACAGTAAATTTTTTTTTTTTTTAATAAAAACTTAACTTGTTTCCAAACTTTCATATACGTTTCGCTTAACCTTAAACCGCTCAAATTACTTTCAAATAAATTTTAAAATGCTACCAAAATCCATGAATTTATATAAAACCATAACCGAAATCGGTTTGGGTTGTTACATAATTGCTAGTAAATTAGCTTGCCCTTATTGTATGGAGAAAACTAAGACTTTTACTTTAAAGCATAGTGGTAAAAAATCATGGTTTGACTATCATTATTAATTTTTGTTATGTGATCATGTATTTAGGAAGAATAAAAGATATTTTATAAAAAATAGGGTTGAGACTGATAAGCCGCCACTTAGACTATCTAGTACACAATTATTGGATAGAGTTTGCTCTCTTTCGAAAGTAACTAAGCACGGTCAGTCTAAATTACCAAGATATGGAGTATATCATAATTGGACAAAACAGAATATATTTGGAAGCTTCTATATTGGAAATATCTTTTAATTAGACACAATCTTGATGTGATGTGTATTGAAAAAAATATTTTTGATAGTATTTTTTACACTGTAATGGATATTAGATTGAAAACAAAAGACAATTTAAAAGTAAGGATGGACTTGGGAGAGAGTTGTAGGTGGCGAGACATGCAACTTGTCATGTTGCCTAATGGAAGAATTGTGAAATCGATAGGGAGGTACATTCTAACTATTGATGAAAGAAGAGTGGTGTGCAATTGGGTTAGAGAATTTAAAATGCCAGATGGATTTGCTTTTCATTTGGCAAGATGTTTTGATTCATAAACAAGTAATACACATAGGATAAAAAGTTACGATTGTCATGTATTTATGGAGTGCCTTCTTCTAATTGCCTTTAATTGCTTACTTGATGTTGTGTAGAACCCTTTTATAGAATTAAGTCAATTTTTTAAGAATTTGTACTCTACTACACTTAGAGATGAGGATTTATTATAACTAAAGTAAAATATTCCAGTAATATTGTGTAAACTTGAAAGAATTTTTTACTAGTATTATTTGATTCAATGAAATATTTAATTGTACACCTTCCATATAAGGTTAGAGTAGGGGGACTTATTCAATATAGATAGATATATCCATTTGAAAGGTAATATATTAAATATACAATACCAATTTTTATTTATTATATTTGTGACATAATTGTGCAGAATAATGTAAGTAATATTTTGTTTTATATATGTTAAGAGTATGTGAGAGTTCAAAAGATCTATAAAAAATAAAGCACGGGTTGAGGGTTCCATAAGTGCGGTGTATTAGCCCGTGAAACATCATATTTCACTTCATATTATTTTGAGGCCAGTTTGCTGTCCTCAAAACGAGAGTGCCTTGAAATGATGATGGGATGTGAGTGGTGGTCTCCCAATTCTCTTAATTTTTAATCAACCGGGTCATAATTTTAGAACTTGTACACAAAGATATCTATCTAAACAAGAAATGTATTTTGTAACTTTGCACATTCTTCTAAATTGTAATGAAGTACAACTATTCATTAAGTAAGTTTTATTTCAATATTATACGAGCTACTTTTATTATAGTTTGGTAAGTGATCCAATTATTTTTTTGTTTGATTTATAGTTTTTTTTTTTTTACATTTCAATGGCATAAGTGAAGAAGAGACTGGAACTCGAAGTCAAAATGAATTTCCCGCATGGCTTAAGGCTTACATAACTATATCATTTACATGTCATATAATTATATTATTTTATATAGTTAACTTTCATAATATATTACAAATAGGTACATGATCTTGCTAATGGTGTGATAAATACACACGTGATTTAGCGTGGGACCAAATCTAAGTGTGAGATCGTATTAGAAGTACTTTGTGAATATTTACAAGTTTTACACAAATGAATACTTTCAAGGAAGAAAAACTGTTAATAGTAGTATCTATATAAAAGGTGTTAGTAGTGTGAGAAATTGAATATTATGGTGTCCTTAGAGAAGTTATAGAATTAAAATATCCATGTGAACCTATAAAAAGGGTCGTTTTGTTTTGTGTAAATGGTTTGATCTAAGAAGACCTCAAGGTACAAGAGTTCATCCCATTTATAACATTGTTGAAATTAATTGTAATAGGGAATATAATCAATATAATCTGTTCATCATTGCTCAAAATGCCAGACAAGTTTATTATATTCTTTATCCAATTATTCGATTGGACAAGGCCCATTAGTGGGTGTTTATATAAACAAAACCAACTAGGCGAGTAGAAATAGAAAATGTAAGTGTGGAAAAAGTTCATCAAGAAGGATCTATGTCATAGGTAATACCTATAATTGACATCAAACCATTAGATGGACTCCATCATGAAACAGGATTGTATGATGAGATTGATCCAAGAAAAGTTGATGAAGAATGACTGACAAAAGATGATCAATATGAAAACAAAGATGAGTAAGAAGAATTTATTGAATATAATAACAATACTGAGCCATCGAGAGATTATGAAGAAGAAGAGGAGGGAGGAAAGGAGGATCATGGTGATTTAGATTAAATTGTTGTATATTTTCTAGATAATAAATTTATATAATTATAATATATATTCTCTCTTTTTTCATAATTTATATTTTGATATTTCACTACAAAAAATGCACTTATGGTAACGAAAACTTTTGTAACAATTGAAATTTGTCATGATAAGATGGGTTATTGTAACAAAATTGTAGATTTTGATACAAAAAGGTCCATCTTTGGTTACAAAGAAATAATTCTGTTATTTTAAATAAATATCGTTACAATAGATGAGCTTTTATGTTACAAAGTAGAAAAATGGTTACATAAGTTAAAATCTCGTTACGTTTAATGTGGTGACATTTGGAAGAAAGTGTTTTGTAACAAATTTTCTTCTTTTTGTAACGTGGACAATTTTTGTTCAAAAAAGTTTCTTATTGTACCGTAAAACTCGTATCCTTAAGTTAATTGATTTTTCTTCTAATCTGATTAATATGGTTCATTTAATTATTTATAAAGGCTTGATTAATGTTGTTCATTTAATTAGTTAATAAGACCCAACTAAATTTTAGATCCTAACCTTGATGTAATTATTTTAAATACATTCATTTGCAAGTACACAAATTTCAAAGCCATTGTTTTTAACCTTTTTAAAACTCTTAACTCAAAGTAATTATCTAACCTACAAATAAAAAATAAAAATTAAAAAAAGGATAAAAGGGTTTCAAATTCTCTTTTTTTTGGTTTTTAAATAAGAAAGTAAAGGGTAAATAAATAAAAGAAAAATGAATAAGCAGAACTTTGAATAATAAAATAATAGAATGAATAAGTAGAATTTTAAATGATAAGATAATGAAAAGCAAAAGTAAAAATAAACATGATAAAGAATTTGAAAGAATCAATTAAATGGATCAATGAAATGGATAACTGGACTTGTAATAATATTTTTGTAAAAATAAGCAAAATTATAATTTTCCCATTTAATGAACTTCTTAAAAAATAATATTTGAGTTCAGTTCCAAAAAATTAACTAAATAAAGGTTTTAACCAAGCCGAGGCCCAATATTAATTTGATTTCTCAATTTAGTTTGATAATTATGAAAATGAAAGAATTAAGTAGATGAAATAAATGGATAACTAGGATTTCTCAATTTGGTTTAATAGTAATTTAATCTTTGCCTTGTATAATTATTATCAAAAATTAATTCTATTTATTAAATTCTATCTAAGCTTTGTGTTTGGAGGATCTAAATGTTGACAATGACTTATAATCAGCCCCAAATTAAAAGATCATCTATAAATCAATACCTACAGCTATTTAGAAGATGGGTCAGCATAGGGTCAACAAAAAAAAATTACAACTAATTATAACGAAATGGTAGCCTGTGACTAAGTGTATTTTAATCTTCTGTTTAGAATCAAACATTATAATCGAGTTTAGATGATCTTCATAGCAAAAAGAAAACAAAAATGTTGAAATAAAATGATCAAGAATTTGATACAAAAATGTTGATACAATGTCGTGAAAGCTAACAATTGCACCACCCACAGCTACAAGCTCAAATCTTCACGTATATTGATTTCAAAGAAAAATAGGCTAAAAAACAAGTAGAAATAACTATTGGAAAAGGCATTGAAAAGAAAGGAAAAATCAATTGAGAAAGATAAAGCAAAAAACTGACAAGACAATCACTCAAGCAAGTAATCCCATTAGTAAAAGTCTAAATAATTGTAAATTTTTGAAGTAAACTCAAACATGACAACCACCCAACATTATACATTTGGATACGGGTGTTAAGTAATTTCCAAACATGCTAATGAAGAGCATGTAAAAAATGACTAGCATGGTTTGTGTTTCTACATTTTTTGCTCCAACAAAAGTCTAAAAATAAATAAATATTTTTGAATCAGCTTTAAAATACAAATTTATCTTTACTCCAAGTTGTGTTACCTTGCAAACATGAAAGCCATTCCAAAGAACACAACCCTTACAGCTTGCTTCTGCCCCACAAATTTCAAAGCTTATTATTCAATAAATTTAAAAAAAACATCAATAAGCAATTATATTTCAAGTGTATAAAAGTAATACTTGGGTAGCACCTAGTAGAATTATCAATCTCAATGGCTAAAGCTACTTGAATCTAGATTTATAAAGATGTGAGCACTGAATAAATCTAGCTCAAATGCAACCCAATCGTTACCTCTTATATAAACCATTAAATATGTCAAGTAGGGTTAAAGTAAAAATCAAGTTATACATGTTGCAGTGAGCATGGTTCAAGAACCACATGGCTCACAATAGTCAAACCACCTGATGTAGGCATAATGTCTGTCCAATAGATTACACCAGCATCATTGTAAGGTCCCCTAAAAATGTAGACTAAATAAGTTACATGCTTCTAGTACAACCAGATATAGGGTAAATATGTAGCTACACTATGAGAATATCATCTCTCTCTTAGGGGAAGAAAGTTGCCTCATTCTAGTAATGTAAATCTTAATACTCAATAGAAATCATAGTGCCTTTTTTTGTTGCTACTGACAACCACTTTCAGAAAGTCAAACAAAAAATGCACCAAAATTCCTTACCTCTCTGTTGCAAAATAAAGAGGAAGTGCAATAGTTGCACCCTGTAAATTAAGGAGTTGGATGGCTCAAGACCAAAGCTATTAAATTGACAATTCATTCCTCTTAAAATTTGTATCCTCCCAAAGTAAAGCAACATCCATCTAACAAGTTATATGGGCTCATTAAGCAAAATTTCAGTTGGCATATGAAAATCAAGCCATATCACATCCAATAAATTCAAAAGAAGAATGCTTTTCAATTTTTCAATACCTGAGATGCATTAATACAATGTACACTTTGTTAGTCCAGAGTCCAAACCACTAATAACATTTTTAAACTAGTCAGTTGAATTAACTCCTCAAATAGCTGTCACAAATATGCCCAATTTTTTGTTGAAGTGTGCATTGAGGACAGACAAGAGGCATGCAGGATGGTTATACCTGTACTTCATTACTGTAAGTAAGTCTCTCAACCATAGTCTTCAAAGTCCATTGAACTAACCATAGCAACAAATCAGAAATGCCTTCACCACTATTCCAGCCACAAATCTAATATATCAGAACATTGGATAGGATATATCTGATTTTGTTGGATATGTAGCAGAAAAAACAATAGACTTCACTAGTATCACATATCAAAAGTGAATGATATTTACCTGATTGCACTTGTAGGTACAATGTTGTAAATTTCACAAACTTCTTTGCTTTTATAGTATAGTCTTGCTTTTAATCCTTATTTCCTGAACTGTTTAATAACCTGAAAAATCAACATAACAAATTATAATGAATCCTACAAAATGCAAAATAATTACAACATCCTAAGAGAGGCTGGAAAATAGATGACTTGAGCAAGCCTTACGAAGAATTCTAGTCAGACATCTTTTGATTGTTGGTTCAAGGCATTGACAATTGGTGCATTCCGTCAAGTTTCCACCCATAAAGTCTATCCACCTGCAAGCATGAATGAAAGAACAAAGTAAACATGACAATATTAAAATTTAAAGCATTCTATGTATTCCAAGGATAATAGCGAAAGAGGTATCTCAACCTTATTCAATGCGACAGTAAATTTTGTATCCCTCATTTTTAGAAGATTGATTGATTCAATGGTTTGTGGTTCTAAACCATGCATTATGTCAATAACCAAAATTGCAATGTCACACAAACCTAAGCCCCAAGACCTTAAGTTAGTGAATGACTGATGTCCAGGGGTATCAATAACTAGTAGACCTAGGACCTTCAATTTCACATCAACTTTAAGTTTTCTTGTTCTATCTCTTATATTCTGTGTAGGAATATATGTGGCACCAATTTGCCGGGTAATCCCTTTAGCTTCACCTTCCTGAACATTTGTGCCTCAGATACAATCAAGTAGCTTGGTTTTACCGGTATCAACATGACTCATAACACAGCAAATTGGGGAATAGAGATTACTTTCACCCTCATTTGGCTCATCATTAGAATGTGGTTGTTCCTTCTTAGTAGTGGGTTCTTTGTGCTTGTTTTGCCCATGACCTTAGTCTCAGCTCGACTTTTTTCTTGAGATTCACCTAGTAAAGTAACAACTTTCTGGCAGCAACAGCAAGAGGGCCTATATCACAATTAACAAGTTGGGAACTTCTCATCTCATTTTCAATAGTGTTTTCAGGTTCAAAGTCGGCCACTTCATCAGCATATGCACTTCTACCTGGCAGTTTGAGATCAGTGTCATCCTAGCTCTTCACATCTTTCTTGTCATCATTATCATGATCATCTTCCATTCTATTCTTTTCAACCATGTCGAGGACTTCATTTTTCTTCCCCACACTCATTATATCAATTTTAACAATCTTCTCCCATTCCAAGGAATCAACCTTAGCAAAAGCTTCCTGCAAGTTCTCTGTTTCTTATGTGCTTTCATTAACCTTTGTTGATGCCCTAGGGAAGACTAAGAAGGAGCATGAAAATGAGGAGTATACCTCAATGGGTTCTAGTTCTAAAGAGAGTCCTAAGGAAGGGAGTGAGGTGGTGATGGCTCCAACTGTTCAAGCTGGCAAAACGACCTATTGCCAACAACATCTCAAGCCCACTTGGATTTAGCCTACAGCTCTGAAGCATTGACAACTCACAAAAATCCAGTAAGTAGGCTTCTAGACTTAAGCTCATTTCAATCCTGCTAGTATATTTAAGACCAAGTTAGCTCCCACGTATGAAGCCATTGTAAACCACTCCATTTTCACCCCTTTGACTAGCTTATCTTTAGACCGCGCAAGCATATGTGCTGTCATTGATGAAGTCTACAAATCCCAAGCTCATTATAGCAAACACTCAAGAGCCTACAGTCTATGTTATAGAATTCCACATCTGCCCACTTCAGGCCTTTGACCCCAAAAGCTTGCTAATCCAATTCCTATCTAACTCTAGCTATGTAGCCACTTACAATAGCTTGAGCCCACAATGTCAAACTAAAGCCCAAATACTATCATAGATAATAAAACATCAATCCACTTTCATAAACCCAACTCCCAAAAGCTTCAAGACCAGATCCAAGTATGTATACATACCAAACCTAATCTTATTCCTTCCAAAGAATTAAAAGATAAAAATATTAATATTCTTTCGATGCTAACGATATTACTAAGGTAAGTAAGGTGGTTTTTGTTAATGGAAATATATATAGATAAAAGAATGCAAGTGGTATTAGCCATGACAACTAATTTAAAAAATTTGGAAAAGTTTGGAATGGATATACTTAGAATGATTAGATATTATACAACATTTTACCCTTTTTCAAGATCTAACACTTCCCCTAAATAATAGTTAAAGAACTGAAACATAAAAAAAGGAGACAAAGTTAAGAGCTAATTTCAACAAAGATGAGGCTATTGGGTATCTCAATCTTGATAGTAGCCAGAAAAAGTAGAAAATCAAATAGCCAAAAAAATCTATGGACTTCGATGGTACTACTTAATAAAACCCACAAAGGATTCATGAAACTATCCTTGCAGGATTTCACATAAACCTCACTCATTAATCCTAAGTTTAGTGGTGTGAAGCATCACTCGTATTTTCACTCTATAGAAGATAGGGATTGTTTAACTGTTCACACAAGGAGCATTTAATTTGGCAAATAAACTAAAGTAGCTATATTGCCAAAGTATACTTAGAAAATTGAAAAACACAGAAGCTGCATCACCCAAGCATTATATCCTAATAGAAATATCTCTACGGTAACTAGGAACACAGCATATCAAGAGTGCTTTTCTTAGATAAAACACACTAGTGAATCAAGAAAATAGGCATTGACTGTAAACAAAAACTGAGGAGAAAAGGAAAGTTACCTTCTTCTGCAGAACTTGAAGAGGGGGTTCAAATACTCTATGCATGACTTAAAAGTTGCAGCAATGGATTTCTCTTTGGCTGTTCTCTTCTCTACCTCACTCGTCCCAACAAGCTGTTGGTTCCACGCATAAAATTTGTGCTTGTGAAAAGGTAAATCAAAAAAATAATATGAAAAATCCAACTTTTATAGTGAAATTTTGACTTCTAGCTTCTATGAAGTAGGCAAAGATTTGAGCAAGAAAGCAAAAGGGTTGAAGTTAATTCAATAAGCAAGAACCAGACAATTGTAGACAAAATATCATAAGTTCGTAATTATAGAACTCTAGAAGCGTCGAAAGTTCAAAGGAAGCGAAGCTTCCTTCACCAATACACCATTGAAGAGGCAAAGTAGATCTTTTTTTACACATAAAGATGCTCGAATGAAGATAAGATAAGGTAGGGAGAGATTAGGAAGAGAAAGAGGCAAGGTCCACGAGCTCCACAAAGAAGAAATGGAAGAAGAATCGAAGAAGATTGTGGAGAAATTGGTGCAAAAAGGAAGAGGAATTGATGGAAAATCAAAGATTGGGTAGGCTGCCTGGTACCAAGTCAATTGAGGGTTTAGCTTTAAGAAGAAAGTGATGGTTATGGTGCATAGTTTTTCTCTTTGGTCCCTCAAGTGTTCTACTTAATCAAATTGATCCTCTTTAGCCTTGATTAAACCTCCCAGAACCTTTAATTTTCCAACCTAAACCCTACCAAAAAAACCCAGAGTTTCAATTTTACTCGATTAAGCCCTTGCAAAAGAATCAAGGTGTTACAATAATCTCCTTTCCTTAATTATGCACAACATTCTTAGTGCTTTTTTAATTAGTAATTACTAATCTTTTATGTCAAAACTTAAATAAAATACTCAAATTCTAAAATATAAAAATAATATGAAATAAAATATTACAACACTCAAATTACTCATACTTTGATAGGTTAATTACTTGTAAAGTAAGGAAATTAATCACAATTATCTAAATATATTGGCACTTGACATAACGAAATTAATTAATTGAACAATTGTCAATGTTGATTTAAAATTATTTGAGACTCAATATGATTTATTTTACAACCCAATTAATATGGTTGATTTAATTAGTTATTAAGACTTAACTAATATTAATTTCTAACCCAACAATAAGTTAAGTAGCCCAATATATATGAAGTCTCCAGCAAGAATTATTTAAATCAAAGAAAATATTTTAACTCATATAAGTATTAACATGAAAAGAAAATCCAAATCTTAATTGGGGCTTGAACTGTTTATCATTCTCAATATAACAAGCTTTACTGCCATCGCGTCGCCCCCCCCCCCCCCTCTCAATTGCAAAGATTGAAAAAAATCAATCATTTAAAAGCACAATCACTGATTAAGAATTCCTTGAAAAGTTAATGATTAGTAACCCCTTTTAGAAATCAAATGGATTCAATTTTATATATATGTGAGGAAGGTAATCAAAAATAGATAGAAGATGAGGGTGTTACAAATATCTCCTTTAGAAGATATACTTTTTAGAACAAAATCCTTTAAAGACAGAGATTCATTTCTTTTTGACGTACTTCACATTTATCAATTTTGGTTTAGGTTAGGTTAGGACTACATTCAATCAAAATTAGACTTAAACCAATGTAGGAAAGTTATGACCCATTAAATTATACTTGGAGCAATTAACATAGTCCATATAATTATTAAGACCCAACTAAATATTAATTCGTAACAAAACATTAATTTGAGTAGGCCCAATGTACATCAAGTTCTATTATAATTATGTCAAAGCAAATACTTGTGTTTATACAAATGTCAACATAATAATAAAGGTAATCCAAGATATACCATCAATGTAGCCACCTAATAAGTAAACATTCATACAAGAAGGCACTGCCAGACATTACACCTGTTCATTGAAGATTACGGGTGCAAAGTGTGGAATCCATGTTGATTGGATTAAAATTGATCTAATTTTATAGATCTGTGGAATCCATGGGTGTCAATGTGATCTGAATCTTTTTATACTAAACCCAAAATTTATTCAAAACCCAATAAAATCTTGTTATTCGATCTAGATTAGATCCAAAAAGAAATTGGATCACATTGACACCCATCTCACTTGGTAATAAAAAGATAAACTTTGATCACTATGTTATTTTTTACCCTTGAGTATATTAAAATCCAAGTGTAGCAAAATTAAAATATTAATTATAAAAAACGATTACATTATGTTATATATAATAGCCATCCCTCCTTATATATAATAGCTAATCTAACATATTTTCAAGAAATTCTTAGAGATTAAGGATGTTAAGTGTTAGACCCAAGTTAGACTTGATCTAAAATGGATTTACTTTTATAAATCTATAAACATATCAAATCTAGATTGGTTTAGATTGATCCAAAACCCAAGAGAACCCAATTGATTTGATCAAGATTGGATCTTAACTGAATCAAATTGGATCGATGTTAGTAACAAAGACAGAAATGTTTAAAATGTGTAAATAGATTCTAGTAAACATGAGACTTTCAAGAAACAAGTTATAGTTTAGTGGTAGCAAACCACACTTCCACCTTGTTGATATGGGTTCAATTCCTAATGGCTGCACTATATTCACAATTTCATAAGCATTATTCAGACCATCCAATTCAACTGAACCGTGAACAATTTAATGATTCAAATTGTTGGACCGGCAGTTCGAATGGTTTTTATAAAATAATTTGGTTTTCTTAACTCTACCAATTCTTAATAGAAACTGAACCAATAACATGACTAGGCAACAGTTGGATCAATCTGACCACTCGGTCTGGTCCGATTTTCTAAAACTATGCTTGTGGGAACCACGACAAATTTATTTCAATTCCTTTCATTATTTCCCTCCGCCATTTTCACACTAGTATCTCCCCCTTCTCCCATTGTCAAACGGAAAGATTTGTTTTACTCCCTCTCACATTATCCAATGCAGAGGCCCTCTCACATTATTTGATACTATGACTTGCATTCATTGTTTGTGTCAGCCTTCATCACCATCTCCAAAAAGCTTTCATTTCGCCCTTCCCTCTACCTGTTGATTCACATCTCCTACAAGCCGTCGCCATTTCGCCCTTCCCTTTACCTCTCAATTCACATCTCCTACAAGCTATCGTCATTTCGCCCTTCACTTCTCCTACAACCTGTCGCCATTTTGCCTTTCCCTTTACCTACTAATTAACATTTCCTATAACCTGTTGCTATTTCGCCCTTCCTTCTACTT